ATAAATCAACGTTAACAAAATAAAAATCAATACAAAAATTATAATATAAATTTAAACCAAGAACATAACTGTGGTTACAGAGCAAAAGCGTATACATGAATGCAGTCGTTAAATGATCAATTTAACTTACATAACAATCAATAAATTTGAAGTCAATAATTGATTGAAATATTGAATAACACAGGCAAATAATCATGGTCAATATAGATCTGTCGATCTCAATATGCGATTTCCGAGCGCGTATTTCAATATATCAATTCTAATTTATCAAGTTTAATATTTCCGCATCGGTTAATATGAGGTGATTAATCATTGTTTGGCGGCAATAGCTCTTTAGTGAATAAATTTCCCAGCTGCGTTTGTGCATTCTACGTTCTACTTTATGGATTTTCACCGTTTGGACCGTATTGTTTAGTTTTTATCCTGCGTCGGATGTGTTAATTACTTCTTTCCTGAACGGGTCGTATATTTTGTTGACCTTTTGTCTAGTAATGCAAAATTGCAAAAGCAGCACTACGTTCATATGGTTTTTAATTAGGAAAAATCTGACACAAAGCAGACAAGAGCTTATGGAATTTGTGCTAGTTTAAATGCAGAAAATCGTAGATTGTTGAAAGCCTGGTATGCTCTTTTCTCAGGAAGGTAGTTATAAAAAAGTTAAATTCATAGAATAATTTATTGCAGTATTTATTTTGATAGAGTCAATTTCAATGATTATAATTGTTGTTATATTGAGGGAATGAATTCATAACTATGATCTCGGATCAGTGATCAATGTCGATCATCCTTCTAATATGAACTATCCCATTATTTTATTTGGGGAAAACAAAGTTGTTCTTAAACTGTTGTTCTGTTACTGTTATTAAAATACATGTAAGTATTAAATTTCAAATTTTCCTCACTACATGGTTTTGGTGGATTTATTTTGACATCATGCTATCAAAAGTAACAGCATAATATCTGAAAAATAAAATTTTGAAAGAAATCGTAAACGCTCCAAAATACGTTCCCAATTGGTTGATACAAGATCTCAGAATTCGAACTATAGAAGAAGAAACTAGTCTTTACTGCACCAGATACAAAGCTCGTCTAAGTCGTCATCCAAACGTATTAGCGTTAGATCTGCTCAAGCCTTTACCACCAAAGCGTCTCAAAAAAAGAATCTGCAATGATTTACTACAAAACATAACTTAACATCTACGAAGGCGCTATCACAGGATAGCGATCCTTCTCACGCTGTCAATTAATATATAACCGTAACAAATGTAGCTGAATGTACTTTGTATAGCTTGCTATGAATAATAAATAAAATAATAACTAGCTGTAAGTGGAATTCTGTCTTAAGGCAATTAAGGCATCGTGCCTTAAGGCAAATTGCTGGAACTTCCCGTACCAAAAATTATTATTTTTTTAAAAACGATTAACATTTTTGAAAAAAAATTACTCCGAAAAAATAAGAGTTTTGACAAACAATTAGACAAAAAATTACTTTTTTTAAAAAAAAAAAAAAAAAAATTTAATTTTTTTTTTTTTTAATTTTTTTTTTGAAAAATTTTTTTCTTTATTTTGACATATTTGAAAGATCTAAACTTTTTTTAAAGCAATCGTACTGCTTTAACTGCATAGAGACAAAATATCAAACCGCGTAAGCGCCGCGTCGACGTCTAACGCGTAAACATTGGTACGGAACCCATAGGAATGTAAACCAAAATTATACCTATTGTTAAAATCTCTATAAAATATCTGATAATTTAATGTGCATATGTCTAATGATAATTTTTGACCGCCAAATGGCATTTTTTTTACTTTTTCATTAGATCTCCGAAACCGCTAGACCTGCCTTTATGAAAATTTGATCGGTTCTTCACCTTGTCAATACAAGTAAAATGTATTTTGAATTATTAAAATCAGACGGTCCGTTCTCTTAAAAACTGAGTTACCGTTTTTGGCACTTTTTGCCCCGTATCTTCGGAACGACTAGTCCTGACTCCGCCAAAAACTAATCAGCACATCTCCTTATCAATACGAATCGAATGTTTTTTGAATTATTCAAATCGGTTGATCGGTGTTCCCGAAATCGTCGACGAAAATTTGTATCCGCACAACATACACACGCACACACAAACACACAAACACACACACACACACACACACACACACACACATACATCCATTTTTTCTAAGGTATGCAAAAATATTCAGAAACCTTTGAAACGTCGAGAAATGCAAAATTTTCATTTTCGATTTTTTTGCGATTACTATAACTTGCCCTACGGGAAGTTAATAATAATAATAATAATAATAATATCTGACAGAAAAAATTCTTTGTATAGTACATATATATGGTACTAAATCTGTTAACATGTGCGGATATTTGCTTGAGGTTTTTACTAATACAAAGATTTGGGTCGAAAGAAGTGATATATAATGGCTATTTTGTATTCTATATTCTGTATACGATACTTTTTGTCCGTGAATGAGCTCTTTGAATCATATACAA